TATATATAAATGCGCATTGCCAGATGCATAAGCTTTAAAATTAAATCAAGGTAATAATTGCCGGGATATAACAAATGAACGAGAAAATGTTAATAATTTTTTACTTTTAATTAAGAAATTTTGGTATGTATTCCATTCTAAAAAGCCAAGTTTTTCTCGCACAGTTTCAGTAAAAACACGTAAAATCTCTTAAAAATTTTAAACTAGTTTCATGAAAAAAATATAATTTTGGCTTCAATGAATTTTTCTCATTTAAGTATTTTTTTTAATGAGAATTAAAATAATAATTATAATAATTGATAGTCACAAAAGTATAATTTTTTAAAGTTTTAATAGAGCGCGTGCTCAATTGGCTCCTAACTCTAATGAGGCAAAATTGTGACCCGCATCATTTCAGAAATTTTAATTATAAACACGGTGGTCTTTAATGAATCGGAGAGATAAAGGCGATTGCGGGCACGGCCGCGCACAAGGCAGATTAACAAATAAGCCCGCTTATGTGGTGCCAAAGGTGCTCTAAAAAATGCACAAGCAATCGCATTAATGAAAAATAGCAGCAGGGCCTCCGATGTAGAGGGGCAAGGTCGAACTCCGAGGCGGAAAGTAACGACGCGAAATTCACAAGTGCGCGGTTTTTGAGGCTCGCGGCCAACGTGGAAAAAAATAGCCGAAAACAAAACCACATGGCTGCGTCGTGTATCATAAAAAGCTAAGGGATTTGAGGCAAAGAGGCCCCCACGGATCAGCAGCGTTTCCGACTCGCGCCGGAAAGATGATGGTTTTGATTCACACAAGAGAGACTTTGTGGTTGGCAATTGCGTCTTCAGCAATTCTTTATCTCTTGGTTTACTTTATCAATAATGTTGTTTACAGCATTACAGTTGATATAAAATTATGAATGAATCAACTCGGTCAACAGTGCTTTTGGAGGCGGTCAAAATATTTTAAAAAGAGAGAATGTTTTGCCTCAAATCAAGCCAAATTCTATTATTTTATTAAATAGTTGCCAAAATATGAAATTTTATATTTACAACCAGCAGTTGATCTCTGCATTTAATTTGTCGCTATTTATTGTTCTTTGTAAATTTAAACTGAAAATAAAAATTGTTTAGATTTTTATCTTTTATCTTAATTTCTATATTTTTAATTTGTGTCTTAATAATTCAATAAACTTTTATTATTGCATCTCAAATATCATCGTTTCCTTACATAAAATTTGATTAATTTAATAAATTCCAAAAATAATGGCATTTTTTTAAAGCAGAAGGAAAAGAGCAACTGGATTGATAAAAATATAACAAGACGGAAGCTGAAAAAACTTGGCTCCAGATACGCACATGCTCATTTTTTCTCATGCTGATATTTCTTCCATCCAACGGAAGTGTTTTTTTTTATATAAATATTCTTTTAATTTTCCTTTGCATTCAAACACTCTTATATTTTCAATAAAATGATAGCCCTCAAAATTATTTTTTAATACGCAGAGGTTATTTAAACCTGAAATGCTTTAGAACAAAATAAAAATGTTTTTTGACAACATGGTATTTATAAAAAGACTTTTTATTCCATTTTTGTGGTTTATGGAATAGAGGGTGAATTTGAGACTGTATTTGGAGCCCCCGGGGGACTGACAAAGTAAACGTGCAGAAATGGAACACCTCCTTTTATCAACATTCTGCGGTTCTAAAGGACATTATCCTGTTACGCCTCCTTAATTGTAAATATTTTGCACAGGAAGCATTCATTTTCAGCAGCGTGAAACTTAATATTTTATTTTTTGCAAGCGAAATTTAAGGCGTTGTATTATTTTTAATGGAAAAGGCCTTTTTTTAGACGAATTAAATTTCAACATTTATGCTTAAATTAAGGGCGGATCAATATAAAAAATGATTGAAAAAACCTGATAACAAGGAAATCGTTGGGAAAATATCTTGTTTCAAAACAATTCTCTAAAACATTGCCTTTCCAAAAATAGCAACTTGATTTCTACGAATTTTCCACGTTCCTTAAAGTTTCATGCACAAAAAACGTGGCTCGCTTCAAACGCAATGGACGTGCGTGTAATGATCAAGATGACATTGTCCAACTGTAAACGGGAGAGTTTAACACGCATCACGTGCACAAAAAGTCAATTTCGTTTGGTTGGTTGTTGACCCGTTTATATGCTTCAGGCGACGTAATTGCTTCTGTTTCTAATTACCGCGGCTGAATGTGGGAAAATTGTCAATATAAGAACATCCTTAGCTTCTCATTGACGCAATTAATAAAAGAAGGAAAATCATTTGCATATCAAATTACTGCATGATTTGGTACGAATTGACTCAACAAGACTTGTATTAATCCCTGACGTTAATAAAATTAATAAAAAATAAGGCCCAAAAAATACTAAATCACATAATATATATTGACATTTTTTTATTTAATATAGTTTATTGTTGGATTTTAAAGAATAATAATGAATTTCACCAATTGAAATTTGTTTTATTATTATATGCCTTAAGGTGGCCTTAAGTAAATTTTTAAAATTGGATTGCTTTATATTTGAAAATAATTCCACTTGGAATGTTTAATAAAATGGAAATTTAACTCCATGTCAAACTTTTAAGAACTCTAGTTTAATAATTTGTACCCTGGCAAATGCAGAACCAAATTTAAATACAATTACATTTTTTAATTTGAGAATTTAATTTTCCAACTATCAATATCAGCTGCCTTTAATGCAGTTGACATTTTGTTTGAATATGCAGGCTATTTATATTATGAGCTTGAATAGGCCTCACGGCGATAATACTAATTACCTTCTATGTACATTGAACCGCGCTAATTAACTGTTTGCCCCTGCGGCGCAGCGTTACGCGATGCTTTCGCGCGCGCAATGAGTTTTCCAGAGCAGAGCAATGAGGCTTGACACAATCTACCATAACAGAAAGTTTTGTAATGAAAGGGTGTTTTAATTAATAAATTGATTGAAAAGTTTTACATGGAATAAGTTTTATCCAAAACTTTCACTTTTCCTCTGTAAAATCTTGCCGAAATGGAAAGACGAATCCTGTGAAGTTTCAAAACTTTGGCTAACATTTTAACAACTCTGAACTCGTAATTTGAAAGTAAGTCGAGAAATAATTTATACAAAGCAGGACAGAATAAAAATGAATGAAATAAATCTTGAGAAAGTCCAGCAATTTTTGTAATCATGTAACGATTGAATAGATAAAAAAATTAAGATAATCTGTTTTCAAACATGTAAAAATTGCTTCCAAATTCTTTTTTGAGTTCTTTTCTGTCACAAAATCAATTAAAAATTTTACAGGAAGGAGTAATGAGTTTAGATAAAAAAAAATCCACACAGGAAACTGTAAAGTTTTAAGGTTTAAAAAATCGTTATTTTTACTCAGCAACGTTTACAGTGCAAAAATCACAAGTGTAAATATGAGAGAATTAAATTTGTACCCTGTATTAAGATTTCCGCAATTTCTGCACATTCTTAAAGTTTACACCGACAATGAGGGACAGGATTTCCTCTACGAAAATAATGAAGAAGAAATAAAATTCAGCGATCCAAAAGTATAACAATTCATTGCTTTAGTGATGTTGAAAAATTATATTAAGTTTGATCAATGAAATTTTTCTGACGGTGTGTTTGATGCAAGTTTTAGCCCTTTCGAATAAACCTGTCTGTAAACCTAAAAAAATTGTTTAACTTAATCTTTAGTAATAATTTAGTAATCCATACAGATTGTGAGAAATGGAAATGATTTTGAATTTAATTATCATTTACGCACATTTACGTAAATCCTAAATCAACCTTTTTATACCTTTTATAATTCAATTTTGGAAATATTTTGCTTATTGCTTGATTAAAAAAAAACATTTTCCAGTTTGCATGGTAAAATAATTGTGTGATTTATGATTTTAAGCGTGAGAATTTTTAGTCAATGTGCGAATACTGCGAATGCAGGGATGTTGATAAATAAATTTATACTAAAAATGCATTTACAGCAGCAAATCAAGTGAACCACTGCCGTGCAAATATTTCCCTAATGCGCGGAGCTTTAATGCGATTCTAATTAAAATGAGTGCACACGCATCCTGCGGGAGCGCAAATCCAATTACGAATGTGTCGGTCCCAGTGGAAAAAAAACTGAAGAAGGTCAATTTAATTTTTGCGCTTCTACCCCAGCAACTCAATTATTGGCGAAAAATAGGTCACAAGTCACAAAACAAATTAGACATGCGGGATAAAATAATTGGCTCGCGTTGAATACAAATACCTCATGTTTTTCCGCTACATTAATTTATCAGCCAGATGACCTCTCTCTCTAAATTTGTTGCGATTTTATAGCTGAGGAAGTTTCACAATAAAACATATTGTTTGTCTATTGTTTGTTAATATCAGTGAGGACGCAGGACACAGCAAAAATTTTTAATGAGAGAGTTTTATAGTGGGTTTTAAATAAAAACGAATTCCTCTTTGAATTTTTTTTCAAATGAATAAAAATTTATTTTAACAGTATTTTAATCAAATCAAAACCGCGCAAGAGCCTTGATAATAAAAAATATTGAAAAAAAATCGATTATGTATTTTTATTTTCTTGTTTATTTGTCTTGGATTTTCTGCTCAAAATTTCTGAAAATTTCTACAAAGTGAAGTATCATTCATCATGATATTCGAAACTTAAAAAATTGTGAATGTGTTATGTGGAGGATAGGAAAAAAAATAATCAGTTCTTACCATCTGTTGCAGTGGTTGTCCCAGAGCATTGCTGTCCTACAGGAAAGCTGTTTGTTTGACACTTATTTCTTGAATAATTCAGTGATTATAGTCCGAGTTCAGTTGCGTTATTAAACGAAAACGAGATATTTTAAAGTACAAAATTGTGAAGTGAAGCCTGAAAATTGGACGGATCAAACTCCTTGGGATCAAACTTGAGGACTTCTAAAATGGAAAAACAAGTTCATAGAAAACACTGCCCCCTACTTCAACTTTGAGTATTGTTTGAGTACATTACATACCGGGTACGCCCACCTGTCACCGAAACACACCGAAATCAACAAAACAAAACAACACGTGCACACGTTTTTTCGTTCGAAACTGAATTTTTTCTTATTATTTTCCGTAATTTCTCTAGCTAGACTACTCTTAAGTACGGTAAAAGAAAATTGCCTTTTTATTTACTTTTTAGATATGCTTTGATATATTTTAAATATATATATGCATTATATTTTTGCAAAGACATTTAATTCATCGCCATAAAAACTTTACTTTTTAACAAACATTTTATTGGCGAATTTTCGTAATTATTCCAGAAGAATGCACGTCGTCACCCCGGAAATGGAGCAATTCCTCGCCCTTCACAAGTACCAGCTTGAGTCGTCCTGCATTCCCAAAATCTTCTGGGAACCTTTGGAACGCAAACTCCGAGAGCAGACTTTTGATGCCGGCCAGGCGTTTTCGTTGATGAAATTCGACTACGAGGATCGTGGCAGGGGCCCACGAGAGCCTGTTTGGGCCGTCGTGGTCACTGCCGAGGAGGGAGTCTCTGAAAGCGACCCGCAGAATATTTTCCTTGTCGACCACGCCTGGACATTCAGGATCAATACTGCCAAAGTAAATTTAATTTAAATGAAAGAATAACAAAATTAAATATATTTCTACTTCTGAAATTACCAGGAGCAGCTCAAAGCTTGTCCTCCGTTGGTGGAGCGCTTGGCAAACATGATGGACGTTTCTGATGAAGACCCTGACGCTCTGGCCGAGCTGGTTTTGGAGGAAATGTGGCGCTACGCCCAGAGTTATTCGGTGAACGCCTCTGAAGCAGAAGACCGAACTCCGATTTGGTACATTATGGACGAGGTTGGCTCTGGAATCCAACACTCGGACCAGCCAAACGTCCGGGTCGTTCCGTTTGTCCACTTGCCAGACCGGATCACATACTCTCTGCTGTTTCCTTTGGAAGATCTGGAGACTGGAACTGTCATAGGAAGGGACTTTGCCGAAGGTCCAGCAACTGATCCGGAAGTCCGCAAAGCTCTTTTGCTGCCCTGGTCCACCGAGACTTCATTTTTGGATGAACCTTTTGAACAGTCTGAACCTTCACCTTCATTCTTTCAAGGCTAGTTTAAATTTTTTTTTTCAAATTATTTATTTGATTATTATGAAGATGGTCGAGTGGCTGAAGCACTTTCGGACCCAAACATCGAGGTTGATGTGGACAAAATTGCAAGACCAATTCGTGTCTTCTCAGAGTACAGTGAGGTCAACAAAGCTCTGAAACACCCTGATTTCACCTTCGTCGCAACCCCTGAGGAGGCAGATATTTTATGGCTTACATATCACTATAAAGATTTCCAGGGTCTTGGTCCGAATCGCTTCGTCAACCAATTCCCTTACGAAAGTGTCCTGACCGTCAAAGACCTTTTGTGTGTGATTTGCAGAAGAAAGGCAGAGCGAGGTACAATCAATTCAATTTATTTGTAATCTTTTGTAAAATAAAGAATCAAATTTAGGTAGAGAATGTGACTCGCAGACCTTGGAAACTCAGCCAGCTTGGCTGCCCACGACCTACAACCTGAAAACGGAACTACCTCTTTTTGTCAGCTACTTCGAACACCGAGAGGACAGGGGTCTCGACAACCACTGGATCTGCAAGCCATGGAACTTGGCGCGTGGCCTTGACACTCACATATCAAAAAACCTTAACTTCATTCTTCGATTGCCACAGACTGGGCCGAAGATTGCTCAAAAGTATGTTGAGGATCCTGTTCTGTTCACACGAAGTGGAATCGGACAGGTCAAATTTGACATCCGATACGTCATCTTGCTCAAGTCTGTTGAGCCACTGACTGCCTACGTCTACAAGGAGTTCTTTGTTCGATTTGCCAATTTGCCATTCCAGTGAGTTGAAAATTATTTTAAATTAACAGAAATTTAATAATTTATTATTTGTTAGCCTGGCAGATCTTGAGCAGTATGAGAGACACTACACTGTGATGAACTATGAAAATCCTTCCCAGTTGTGCCATATGAAGTGCGCCGAATTCGTAATCGAGTTTGAGCAACAGTACGAAACCTTGAAGTGGGTGGACGTGGAGGTACATTAGATCATAAATAATTGAACTGCCCTTTTAATGTAATTTATTTCTAGGCTGATATTTTGGTTGCCCTGAGAGGTGCCTTGGAGGCTGCAGCTAGCAAACCTCCTCCGCAAGGAATTCCAAACAGCCCTCAGGTATTATAAATTTTCTAAATGTACCTCAGTTTTCTTGATTTTCTTCTTCAGAGTCGGGCTCTCTACGCTGCTGATTTGATGTTGAGTTGGAGTGGCAAGGAGCGGAAAATGCAGCCCAAGCTTTTGGAGATCAACTGGATGCCGGACTGCAAGCGTGCCTGTCAATACTATCCCAGTTTTTATGACGACGTTTTCAGCACTTTGTTCTTAGGTGAAACAAGAGGCAAAAATGTGATCCCTCTGTAATGCAAATTAAATGAGGTGCTTTTTAAAGAAAAAGAAAAAAAAACAGATTTTTATTTTTATAATTTTTTATTTCATTAGAGTCAAGCCACAACTTTTGTGGAGGAACAAGAATTAAAACATGTTTAAAATGCAATCACATAATAAAAGGGCTCGTTTAAAAGAATCGCAGTATAGTTGGACACCTACATGGCAAATCACTTTGGTAACTTCAACCATTTTTTAAGTACTGGCTTATTCATTTTGACTTTTTGTTTTTAAACTGAGCCTATAAAATTCAGACAACTGCTGGGCTGGAAGCGTCAACGAATCCACTAAAACTAACTTGGCTTTGAGAGATACTTTGCTATGACTAATGATAAAAAACTCGCAAAAACAAATAATGATCCAGGAACAGATGCAAGAAGTCTGTAGCGCTCATCTGCAATATGAAAACACCACATAAGGTTGAGAGAAATGAAAAACAGGCAGGCATAGGTTTATTATTGTGTTCATTCTCAAGAAAGTGACTAAACTACTTTCAAATAAATAATAATATATGGCACCAAAGTACAAAAACAAAATGTTTGATGAGCAAAACAATATGTCTTTAGCAAAAAGTTAGTAAAATCAATAACAAATAAAGAAAGATATAACAACAATATGACTTCCGTGAAAAAACGGTTTTGTAAGTACAGGACAAAATTTTGAATTTTTCTTTTTAAAGTACGCATTTCATGCATTCTGAGAAAAAATTCAACTACCTACAACAATGGCGAAGTACAATTGATTAGAACCATTACCAGAGAAAAATGACAGAATCGATTTTTCTTTATTTTGTACTATTTCGATCCTAGTATGCTTTTACATAAATTGTGCGGCCAACAAAATTCTCTGCATGCTGCATTAAAGCTTATTCTCCGTACCTGGCATAGTCTTGGGCTGTTCCTGGTGCCAGCCGAGGCTCCGCTCAATGGCCATTTTCCATTTGGCATAGCGAATGTCACGCTCTAAATTATTAAAAATTCATATTGATGACAATTAATTGAAAAAAAAACTCACCATCCTCAGTAATTGACGGATGGAAGGTGTCACTAATCACAGACTCAGGACACTCCCTCTCCAGGTCCCAAACTCCGATTCCCTCGGCTGCTCCGGCAGCCATGGCTGCACCAAGTGCTGTCGTCTCAGCCATCGATGGACGAACTAATAAAAATAGTTTAATCCTTTTCAAGGACCTAAATTTGACAACACCTACCAACATTGATTCCAACAAGATCTGCCTGGAGCTGCATGAGCAGGTTGTTGGTGGTCATTCCTCCGTCGACTTGGAGTTTTGTCAGCGGAAACCCACTATCTTTGTTCATGGCTTCGAGAATGTCACGGGTCTGGAAGCAAATGGCCTCCAGAGCTGCTCTAACAATGTGACCTTTACGGGTGTAGTGTGTAAGGCCGCACAAGGCTCTACAAAATATTTTAAATAAATACATCGAGAGATTTGAAAGATTAGAAATTGCAATTAATTTAAAATCACCATGCAAATATTTTTATTTTTTTATTTTGAGAAAAAAAGTTTGGTTCTCTTTCTTTATTATTTTGTTTATTAAACAAGGTCCGCTCATCAGCAACAATGAAAAAAGGTTTGATTGTTGTTTGAGCTCTCTGATTGGGTACAAGTAAAGTTGTACCCAATCAGAGAGCTCGACAACAATCGAAATTTTCTGACAAGCGGACCTTGTTATTAAAGAAGAAAGTTTAGTATTTGAATGTAAACCAATAAAAAAAAAAAAAAAACTCAAATACCCTCTTGCATCCTTCCTCCAATAAGGGGCAAAAAGTCCAGAGAAGGCTGGCACGAAATACACATCGGCGGTGTCCTTGACCTCGGACGCCAGTTTCTCAGTTTCAGAGACGTCTGGCAGTATCCCCATGTTGTCCCTGAGCCAAGCTGTACTGGCGCCGGCAACAGCCACTGATCCCTCCAAGGCGTAAATAGCCGGGGCTTTGGGGCCCAACTTGTAGCCGACGGTAGTCAACAAGCCGTGCTGCGACTGCACAATCTGAAGACAAACAGCGGCTGCCTTCATGGGGATCAAACAAGATCAAGACAGACTTACGGTGGTGCCGGTGTTGTAGAGCAAAAAGCAGCCTGTCCCGTAGGTGTTCTTGGCCTGGCCCTGCTTGAAACACAACTGACCCACCAAAGCCGCTTGCTGGTCACCAAGGCACTGTTTGGGAGGAAATTAAAAAAAATCAAATTATTTTAATTTTGAATTTACCCCTGAAATTGGCAGACCCTTCAGAGGGCCGTCTCTTAGAAAGCCGTATATTTCAGAGGAGCTACGGATTTGAGGCAGGATTTCCATGGGAATGTTGAAAAACCTAATTTGAAGAGTAAAATTAAATTTTTTATTTGAAAATCCTTCGAATGGCGTTTAAACATACTTGCAAATGCTAGCATCCCACTGAAGAGTTTGAATGTTCATGAGCATGGTTCTCGAAGCATTGGTCACGTCGGTGATATGAAGTCCACCATCCTTGCCTCCAGTAAGGTTCTTCAAATATAAATTTAGATTCAATCGTTTTTGATTTAAAAAAATAATTACCCAAATAAGCCAACTGTCAACGTTGCCAAAGAGACAGCGTTTTTCGTCGACAGCCTTCCGAACAGAGGTCACATTGTCCAACAACCAACGGAGTTTCAAGGCGCTAAAGTAAGTACTGATAGGCAGTCCACAAAGTGGTTTGAGGTAGTCAGCACTGTGGCCAGGCGCTTTGGCGATCATCTGGTCAACAGTTATGGTAGTGCGAGCATCATTCCAAACTGGAAACATGTTTTTTTTTGTCAATTTGGTAATTTAAAGAGATTTGAAACTATAGTCTTGCAACAAAGTAATATAAAGTTAAACGTCAAATTCATAATACCAAATTTAATTGTATTGTAAAAAAACTTTTTTTAAAGTTTTTAAAGAAATGTGTAATACATATTTTGTGTTGCAGCAACTCATTTTCATACGGAGAAAAGTTGCAAAACAGATGTTTATAAAAATAAATGACCTACCGATGGTGTTGTAAAGCGGCTCTCCGGTGGTGGAATCCCACACAACAGTGGTCTCGCGCTGGTTTGTCACGCCGGTGGCCACGATGTCGGAAATGTTGATCTCCAGTTTGTTCAGGTTGTCGACGGTTTTAGCAATACACTCTTTCACGGCCGAGAGCAGCTCTTTGGGGTCTTGCTCCACCCAACCTTCACGGGGCAGTTTTGGCTTCAGCGGGATTTGGTGGAAGGTGATCAGTTCGCTTGTGCGTGCGGCGAAAACCTGAATATGTGTTGGTCAATTTTTTTTGTTATTTGAGAGAAAGATTAATGAATATTCAGAGCTTATAAACAAATTAAGCCTGTGGAGCAGAAAATTTGAAATAAAAAACTTAATTATGACAAAACTCTAATATTTTCTTTTGAATGAGAAAAACATACTAATTTGTATATATAATTTTGTTTTTATAGCAAAATTGAGCAAAATTTTAAGCAAAAAATCATATATAATTAAAAAAAAATATTTCATTTCTATTAGAAAAATTTGAAAGTTAATTTACAATATTGAAACAGAAATTTGAAATTATTGAAAAAAGTGACATTAATTTATCTTACCATAAAGCGTGTGCTGCTGGTGCCTTGGTCGATGGCGCCGACCAGGGGTCCAAACCGTCCTTTGACCTCGTTCGCCATGTTCCTGCAACACCCCAGGCGATGAATCAGAGAGTGACAAAGTCGACAATTGTGATTGAAGATGGTGCAAGAGCGAGTGCACTTGGCGCTATTGCACTAATTGAATCTATTTTCTGCTCTCGCGCTGTATGAACTTTGCGACTGCACCGCACCGATCCGTTCCACCTCCTTTTATACACGAAGGCAGAACGAGCCCCTGCGTGCAAATTAATTTGCTCAGCTTGCCTCTCAGTCGATCACGACGCGCTGCTTTGGTGTTAATTCAGCTGCTGTTATCGTTTTAATTGCGACTGGTGGCAGCCAATCAACGGCAAACAAGATGACAAGCCTGCTCAACGCCACAGCAGTGGAAAATTTTTTACAAAAAATTATTTATGGCATTGATAATCCGCAACAATACACATTGCAAAACGAAATTAATTAACCAGCAATGAGATCAATAAAATATTAATGCGCATTATAAAAATAATATAATGTTAAATAATAATAAAAAATAAAAAAACTTGAGATGAAGAGTAATAAGCAGGAAATTTTAAATTTTGATGAAAAAGGGAAGTTTTATGCAAAATGTTATGAAATGAACCAAACACTTTTTGTTCAATTTTAAATTAGTTTCCTGAAATAATGTAAATATTTTACATTGTTTTACACGTTTTACATACATCATTTAAAATTAAATATGGTCTTCCTCTCAGAGAATAGAATACAATTACAAAAATAATTAACTCATTATCTCCAATTTAAAAAAGCCAAGCTATTGAAAATAATGATGAATAACGATTCAATAAATTTTGACATTAATTAAATAAATATATTTATGATGCAGCGCAAATTTGATAATTTTCTTTAAAAAAAAAATTAGGATATATATTTAGAAAAAATTAACAAGTATTTAAAAACTTTATTTTTAACTAATTAAATTTTAGCTAAACGTTTCTTTTTACAAATTTTTTAGGCTAGTTAATTTTTTCTTACCAAGTTAAGATTACATGGTTAAATAGTTTGGGTTTAGGACAAATTGGAAAACTTACTCCACAATCAGACTTGCACGTGACCTATATATAATATACCGCTTGAAATTCAATGGAAAACTAACTGACCAGCGATAATGAGGCGGCTTTGTTTAGCCTTTTCTGTCTGCCAGCATACGGATGCAGATAAGAGAGATGACAAAATCTCTATCTTTGAGTGGAGCATTATTTGAATGCCAAAGTACGAGCGGTCGAAACAACAACAAGTGGCCAACAAATAGAGAAAACGTCTTGAATCTTCCAATTCAAAACAATATTGAATTTTTGGACGCAAATACACGTGCAAAACCTTCAAGTTATCTCGTTTTTTTAATTTGTATGCTGCGCCGGCTTTTTACTTAAGTTGAGCCACTGATAGATTGGGAGAGATAAAGGGTTGGCTTTTTCATATTTATTTATCGCAGATTATTCAATTTTCATATGCTTGGGTTTCTTCTGATAAAACAAAGTTGACGAGTTAAAAAATTGTTAAGTATTTTTCCAATCATAAATAAATAAGAGTATTTTTAAAAGGCTTATAACTATGCATTATAACGTTTTCAAAAAAATTGGACGAAAATTTACTGGACGTCTACTTTTATTTATAATATAGGCATACGTTTTAGAGAAAGTCGATTAAAAAATATAATTAATTACCCCTACACGCTGCCAATTATCCGCTCACAGGGAGAAAAAAAATACTAGAACAATAAGTCCTAAATGGTCCTAAATTATAACGACGAGGACATGATTATGTAAAGATGGAAATGGAATGGTATTGATAATCTTCCAGATTTTTCATGAAATTCTTTTTATACATATAATATATAAAACAAACGATAAATTTAAAATATGGCTAACAAAAGGAGGAAAGTTTCATTTGAATACATAATACATTATTTTTATCTCAAAAAACGGTCGAAATTGTGATTATGTCATTTATAAATTTTAAAAGAAACCTAATTCTACGACAAAATTGTATGATGAATCCATTTTAAAATCTCAAAATTAAACTCACGTTGTTATGTAAACAGAGAGGTAAAGAAAATCAGTCCAAGCAGGTCATCTCAAGAGATCGATTTGCTCGCAGCTGTGAATTATAGACGAAATTATTCTCAAAAAGCTCTGAAATATGAAAATTAATTCAACAAACCTGCAAAGAAGTCCTCTGTCAAAACAATACTGCTGTGAAGAGAAATCCGCAATCTCTCGGCAATCAATTAGCTGCCGGCGAAAGATTGCGAAAATCGAGACCGAGAGATGATTTCTCCGCAAAGTGCCGCAAACCACAACACGAGCCACGCCCCCTTTTTCACTAGTCTCGGCAACAAGAGTCTCGGCGCCGGCGCTGCCCTCTCAAGGTTGATAAACAAAGAGGTCAAAGAAAAGGGAAAAGGGAAACGCACGAGGGTGACGAGGGCGGCATGTCTTTTTGCACCGGTAAACAAACGTACTATTTATCCAGGTAAGACAACATCATTTAATAGGTATCAAATTAATTGCAATGATGTACTGTGGTTTTTGGCAGTTAAATTAACCTTCGTTGGTCGAGATGGCAGAGGCCGTGGAAATGCTGAAAGGCGAGATGAGGAGAGCCCATCAGGAGAGACGAGCAGACAGGAAAAACAGGGAAATGATGTCCCGTCGAGGGGTCAAGCTCGACAACGACTCTGACTTTGTCCGGCTCGAAGAAGTCAAGCCTTTGGCCGAGGCAGTTAAGAGAAAGGGGCACATGGACGTTGAAGTTTTGGTCAAACTCCAGAAGGCTCTTCTTCAGGGCAACGAATTTGTCTCGGCCTTTCTGTCTGTGAGCGGTGCTTTTGCCGGCATCGTAAGAGACTTCTCAGGTTGTTAAATTTAAATTTAAAAAACAAATAAATTTTAACTCGTATGTATTTAAATTTAAGGTGTGCGGCCAAATTATGCTCTTCGTGCTGCTTTTTGTCTTTGCAACCTGTCTGTCAACACAAAGTCTCTCAGTTGGAGACAAACTAAAGCCGTAGCCCCCTATCTCATGGTGCATCTTGACGGAATGAATTCACAAATGCTGGTATAAAAATATCTCAAAATATAAAACTATTAAAAAAAATATTATTAACATGTAATTTTTAGGATGCATGTGCGTGGGCGGTTGGCAATCTCTCTCTTGTTGATGAGCAAAGCTGGGAAATTCTGCATGAATTGGGTGCTTTGCAAAAATTAGTCAAACTGCTGAACAATACCAATGAGGCTGTGGTTACTTCCGCAGTCTACTCTTTAACCCACATCACCGAAGCAAGAATTGCAAAATTAAAGTAAAATATTTTAATATTGTTAAATTTGACCAAAGATTATAATTTCAATTTTAGCCAACAGGAATTAAAGGATATTTCCAGTGCGATTTCTCCTCAAACTTTGGCCGCCTGCGATTTGTCAAGACTCATATTCCAGCTTTCGACGACAGGGGTTTGCGATTTGGAACTCTCGTCCCCTGCTGTGGTCAATGCAGCCATCCTGAAGCTGCAGAATCATCTTCAGAGCAGCGACCTTCATGTTGTAGACGTGCTCAGTGAGGTAACTTTTCTCATCCGTTACTTGGCCAATGTGTCTTCGACTTGTCCGTCGAGTGCGCACTCAGTTTTAACTGCTTTGGTCGGAGCGAATATTAATCTGCTCAACTCCAGTTTTCCACATTTGCAAAGTGACTTTAGCTGGCTAATAGCCAATCTGCTCAAACACCCGTGCGAAGAGACCAGAGAAGAGGCCTCAAAATGCTTATTAAAAAATTAAGAATTTTTCAAAATGGTCAATTTTTTTATTCTTTGCAATATCATAAATAATGCGTCTTTATTCAATTTGTGATCGATTGAATGGCAACCAGGATTTGCCGGTGGTTTAAGTGATTCCGCAAAAGTATGCCAGTAATTGAATTACGCTCATCTAGGCTGCATATGCCACCTCATTATAAAGTGAGCGTGCAGCCAGATAGGTTGAGAATAAGTTCAAGCCGCCTTATGCTGCTTTATATGGAATCGCCAAAGAAACCAAAATACACCTCTTTGTCTACAAATAAAATCTAACAAATATTATATGAAATCCAGATGTTTTGTTGAATAGGGCGTTTTGATTTTTGTTGGCACTCTTCTTAAAACATAAGAAATTACAATTTCGTTCATTGGCAGGATTCTTATGACATAATTATGATATTATCAAATTCTGAAGTGTCAAAATATTGTCAATTATTATTAATCCTATTTTGTAATTGGTAAATTTGATTACTTTTTGTAATTAGAAGTCATTTAAATTTGAAATACGTGGAATATGCTTTGTATGCCAAATTTCATATTTTTAATGCATGGAAAGTGCATATTCAGGAGAAGCCTTAGGGTGGTGCATAGAAGCAGAGGTGGGTGACACACAGACTGCACTTACGGCTCAGTCCTCGACGACCAACGGGGCTGTCAACATGGCTAGTAAGTTAAAATTTTAATTTCTTGATTTTTAAAATTTATTAAACGTGATTTAGTTTTAATTGGTCCAAACAAATTATTAAAATACTGACAAATGGTTTCGGCTGAGGAGTGTAGTTTATTAATAATTTTTGTCGTGAGATTTTTTAAAATTTTAGAATTTAGGAGCTGCTTTTTTTGTTGCGATTTCAAATTGAAATATATCAAATCATCTTTTGTGCAGGCACCAGTAGTACGGAGCATCTGGTCAAGCAGCAGCGTCCATCAGTATGGACACTCAACCAAACCGTGGTGGATGTTCCACTCTCCGCTGTGGAGAAAAAATTTTTGCTCCTGGTTGAGCGAGGCGATGTAGCCTCCGCCAAGAGGTACCAAACTGAAATAAAATCGCGTAAAAATGTAATAAAAAATCCATTTCTCCAGGCATATCGAAGAACATACTGGCAAGCCAGATTTCAGCATCGATTGCGTTGACCCCATGGGCAGGTCTGCTCTGTTTTCTGCGGTTGACAACGAAAATTTGGACATGATTCAACTTCTACTCGAGAGTGGGATAAAGATGAAAGTTAGATTTAAAACTTTTCTTTGAAAAAAAATTAATCCTTTTTCTTTAAGGATGCTCTTCTCGAAGCTATCCGTGAACAGTATGTGGAGGGTGTTGAGGCGCTTCTGGAGTGGGAGGAGAGTATCCACAAGCAGGGAGAACTCTATGTAGGAATAAAATTTTTGCAGTAGGAAAAATTGTTTCTCATTGATTTTTATGCAGAGTTGGGAGGCTGTAGATAGGTCTCAAGCCAAATTCACTCCAGATATCACACCACTCATGTTGGCTGCCCACATGGACAACTTTGAAATTATCAGAATGCTGCTTGACCGAGGAGCAACCGTCCCAAGTCCCCACGATATAAAGTAATAAAATTGTATGATAAAATTAATTTCACTCTATATTTTATTTAAATTTTTAGGTGTAGCTGTGAGGAATGTGTGCTTTCGGTTGAAAGCGACTCACTGCGCCATTCCTTGGCTCGAATCAACGCCTACAAAGCACTTTCCAGCCCGTCTCTTATTGTCTTGTCATCGAAAGATCCTCTGCTGACTGCCTTCGAACTGTCACATGAACTCTCAAAATTGAGGAAGCTTGAGAGCGAATTCAGCGAAGAATACAAAGCAAGTCATTTTGTGAATTTGTTTATTAACAATGTACCTAATTATTAAATTATCCCAGGAAATGAGAGTGAAAGTGAACGAATTTACCGGTTGCCTGTTGGATTTCACCAGGGAGCAAAAGGAACTTGAGGTTGTTCTCAACCACTGTCCAGAAACAGGATGGGACCCACGAAATAAGTACTCTTTAGAACGTTTGAAACTCGCTGTCAAGTACAAGCAGAAAGCTGTGAGCTTATATATATCTTTTGCATGTTTTACTTTATTAATGTTAATTTTTTTCAGTTTGTTGGACATCCCCATGTCCAACAGCTGTTGGGTGCAATCTGGTATGACGGACTACCTGGTTTCAAGCGACTGGGCCAACTGCAGCAATTATTTACTGTTTTGAAGATGTTCATTTTGTTCCCGTACTATTGCACGGTGTACATGCTGGCGCCAAACTCAAAGGCAGGACAATTTGTGACCAAACCTTTCGTCAAGTTTGTGTGTCACAAAGCGTCTTACCTTTACTTTCTGAGTATAAAATGAAATACCAAATATTTATTCATCTTTTAACTAAAATTGTTACAGTGATGTTATGTGCTGCTTCTCAAAGGATTGAATACATTGTACTGAAAGTCTTGGGAATGTTCATTGATCCGTACTTCCAAGAGGTCCTTGATGATTGGAATCGTCGAGAGCGTGGAGCTTGGCCAGGTTTGTTCGAGTCTGCGTGCGTTGTGTTTATTTTTGGTAAGACTTGAGTGTAGCTCACTTATCTGTGTAATCATCTAAAATTATTGGCAGGCAACATCTTTGCTGAATTAAGGCAGCTTTGGGAGGATGGACTTTTTGTATATATGGAAGATATGTGGAACATTGCCGACTTGGCCAGCAATACGTTTTATGTTACTTGGATTGCAGTCAGAGCTGATGCCATATTCTGTCGTCTAGTAAGTTGTCTTGTTTAATAATGAGAAAATGAAAAAAATTGTGCTGAATTGTAGCGAGAGCAATGGAATGGATGGGATCCCTACTACCCCCGCGAAAAATGGGACCCTTTTGATCCCGACTTACTTGCTGAAGGCATGTTTGCTGCTGGCATGATTTTCAGGCAAATTTTACATTTTTTTCCTTTAAAAATAAGAAAATGTTGTATTTAAATTTTCAGCGTACTGAAGCTGGTCCACATCTTCAGCATTAACCCACATCTTGGTCCCCTTCAAATTTCTCTCGGTCGAATGATTATTGATATTATCAAATTCTTCTTTATCTACACTTTGGTGCTCTTTGCTTTTGGATGCGGTAAATAATTAAAATAAATCCTGCTTTTCATCTAAAATCGCATGAGTTATAGGTATGAACCAGCTGTTGTGGTATTATTCCGAGTTGGAAATGCACCGGTGTTACAACACAGACGATCCTTTCCATGCAAACTTCCACGACGAAGAAAAAGCTTGCTCCGTTTGGCGACGCTTCTACAAGTACAATTTCACAATACAATTTAATTAAATATCACAGCTTTCTCCATATTTCAGTCTGTTTGAAACGTCACAGTCCATGTTCTGGGCTAGTTTTGGATTGGTTGACCTGATTTCCTTCGACTTGACTGGCATCAAGTCATTCACAAGATTTTGGGCTTTGCTTATGTTTGGATCATACTCAGTGATCAACGTTATTGTGCTGCTCAACATGCTGATTGCCATGATGTCAAACTCTTTCCAACTGATATCTGTAATGTCAAAAAATCCTGATTTCAACCAGCTAAAATAAAAATTTGTAGGAACGGTCTGATCTTGAGTGGAAGTTTGCCCGCAGCAAGCTGTGGATCAGCTACTTTGATATTGAGCAGGACATTCTCCCCCCACCATTCAATATGTGCCCCAGCCCTGGATTATTTAGGGACATCTTTGGTGTTGGCAAGCCACGAACAACCGCATCGTTTAAGGTAAGATGATTTTATTATATAGTTCACACAATATATCTAATTAATCTAATTTATTTATTTCAGTTCAAGACCATTGAAAAAACTCAAGAAAGGCACGACACTGTCATGAAACTTTTGGTCAAGCGCTACATCAGTACCGAACAACAGAGACGAGAGGAGGAGATCGGCATTTCCCAGGATGATGTGGTTGAAGTCAGACAGGACATTTCCTCGCTGCGCTACGAACTTGTTGACATTTTCCGCAACAATGGATACAAGACTCCTCAGATTGATCAGAGTGACAGTAAGATTTAAAAAAAATAAATTAGACAAAATATTGATTATTTTTGTTTTAGTCGGCAGTAAGAAGGCCAAGCAAATTGAGCGTCGCTTGATGAAGGACTTTACTATTGGATGTGTTGAGGGAGCTTTAGACGAAGCTGCCAAGAGTGCAAAGGGTGCAAAGGACATTTTCTCCAAGCTGGCTAAGGCAATTGGTAAGAAGGGCAGCAAAACGAGTTTGGGCAGCAAGACCCAACTGGGCAGCAGGGCTGATGCGTTTGGCCGTAAGAAGAAGCCAACCGATGCAACCGGAAGCTCTGCTGCACTTAGTGAATCAAGGCAGAGCTTGCGGCGCTTGCACTTGGACCCTGAAGAGCTGAAAAAGCAGTTCCCCAAACTTGAGGCTGAAACCAAAACCACCCAGCTGGCCTTTGCCAAGTTCAGCAGAGGAAAAATCAGGGTAAATAATTGTTATTTTAAAATGGGAACTGTTACCGGCGTGAGTGGCATAGTGGTTTGAGTGTTAGGCTACCAATACGAAGGTACAGAGTTCAATGCTTTGACGTTGTTAACGCGTCAAAAAGTGCTCTGTATCGTCACTCATGTTCGGGAGGTGTCCCAAGGCGCCGAACTTGCCTGCTCGTGGTTTGTGCCGTTTCCTTGATTTGTTGGAATTCCTGCACCAAATGGAGGCATTTCATAAAGTCCAGCGGCACCTGGCTAATTCGGTAGACTTCCCAGCCGATAAGCACCGAATGGAGCTTGGCAGGATCATAGTCTGTCCAAATGAATCACAAAAAAAAAATGCTCATTTGTTTGCCCAACAGGCCCGGGATAAGCTGGCTGTTGTGGACGAGACTGCCAAAGAAACTGCTCCAAAGCCTCCTGCTCGGGCTCCACCTAAGCCGAGTGCAGCCCCTGTTGCCTCTGGAGCGTTAGGAATAAAGGAGAGAGTTGCTGTAAGTTTTCTTTTTTTTACATTATTTGTTTAAAATTTTAAAATTAATTTGATTGAGGAGTTCCAAAATTTGAAATAATTGAAATAAAAAGGATAGGTCAAAGTAAATAATGAAAAGATTCACTTAAGGTTGTTTGGAGGCTAATTTTTCTCTTGGCTAGTACAAGAGAGGTGCGCTTTTGTTCCAAATAAAACAATATTTGCTTCAATGTCTTTAGGAAAAGGCGCAAATTTGCATAACTGCCAGTAAATTGAATTTAAAGGCAATATACTTTGAGAAAAAAATTACAAACCACCCACCCCACTACATTCTGGTTAGGTCAACTGTCTGGGACAGTTTTAGTCAATGACAGCCAATGAAGTGCCGTGGAGGGGATGGTAGGCGGTGTCAGTGATTATAAAAGCCCACTGAGTTTCTTCCAAGCAGACATTTGGTCTTAAGCTCACTCGGGAGTTAAACCCAAAGTACTTCAGTTAACTAAAGAGATTGTCAAGCCCAGACTTTACTTATTTGGATTTTGGATTCGGGGAAAACTCAAATGGGCTAAAGCCTTTAATTTAATCTTATACTTTAAGTGAAATTTTGGCTCCAGTCCGGGCTTGGACGTCATCGGACAAAAACACGGGCTGATTGTAAATTTATTTTTACAATTTTTTGATGTTGTTGGTTGTTCTATCTGGTTAAACTAGTATTACTAGCTCCTTTTGTCATTTGTTTTAATTCTGTATCCTTGATACAAAATATTTTTTATTGCAGCGGCAAATTTCTCTCGAAAATAAGAAAGAGGAAGAAGAAAAGTCCAAAATGGAGCCGACCATGGTGAAGCCGTCTGAAATGAAAGGCAAGGACTCCTTGACGTCCCCACCGCCTGCTGCTCCAACACCGGCAGCTCCACCAGCACCTCCAAAAGAAGCACCTGCCCCAGCAAAGGAACCTGAAAAACCAGAAGCTCCTAAAGCGCCAGAGAAACCTGCCGAGAAGCCTGCGGCAACCACCCAGCCTCCGGCGGCCAAGCCTAAACCTGCCGCAGCTGCCCCTGCACCAAAACCTTCCACTGCCTCCCATCTGCACACTCCAGTGCCCACTGGTGGAAAGTCTGTCATTTCTGGAAGACATCTCGACGGATGGCTGTAAAAATGCAAACAAAAATAATTGTGATTTGTTCACCCACAAAATCAGCTCAATGGGGCGTTTACTAACTTGTTTGTGGCCCAGTTTTACTCCGTTTTTATACGAGTTTTAATAACGCGCGCCTCATTTTTTCAGGCAAATGCCAATGTGAAGCCATGTTCAGCCGTGTTGCTTGATATTTATTAAATTTTGGCGTGCCTATTGCAGTTGTTGACACGATCGAATACTACGGCGAGTGCTCTTAACCTTTAAACCGATTTTAAATATGTTATCAATTTTACGTGCGCCTTGGTTTTACCGCTTTTAGTTATTGTACTGTTTATTAAATTGTTTTCACTATTCAGTTTTATACAAAATTCTGTTGAACTTATGTTTAAATTGAATGATACAAATTAAAAAGAGATAAAAGCACCTTTGAAAATTAATAAAGTATGAAGAATAAAAAGGTTTGTTCCCTGTTTAAGCTGATTCCCCACCAATAACAAGAACAGACAGTGTTATGAAAGTATAAGCTAATATTCATGCTTATACAATTCCCACGAAGTAATGTGGAAAATCTTGGACTGGCAAACATGCTATTATTGCTATTCAACGTGATTTTTACAATGCTTAAATAAAAAATAAAAATTTAGCTATGTTGTTGTCGACGTTGAAGCAATGTATTATGTCCAAAGTTCAATCAAAAAGAGAATTGTCAAAAATTGTCATATCTTCTAAAATCTCAAATAAAAAAGACTTATTTACTAACCTTCACAAGAAATCTGTAAAATAAAATTGATAATTCTTTTTCAAAATTCAATCAACTCTTTTGTATTAAAATTCTCCATGAAATATTTTAAAGAGATGGCAGAATAAACCAAATTTAAGAACAAAAATAATAATTAGAATAAAATGTAATTCAAAGTTTTATAAAAAAAAAAATGACTATATTTTTAATATTTTCTGCTCCGTTTTTATTTTTTGCAGAGCTCGATTAACCTAATAAGCAGGACCCACAACAAACAAAAATCCTCCTTTGATGGCTGCCTCTCTTGTCCCACACGTAATGCGTGTGGGGCTTCTTTATCTGCCATATACTAATTGGATTCACGTTCGGCGCAGAGTGCGTGATGAATCTGTCTTTCGGGTCTCACTCAACAGTTACTGTCACTCGGCGTTTGCAGCCGCAGTTGCAAGCATCTCTTTATTGTGTCGGATCAGCGTCAAAATATTAGTACCAGGATTACAAAAAATCGCGCTGAGTGAATTCCATGCTTGAAAGTGTCCACAGGTGAACGAAATGGGCTCGAAACGGCAATTCGCGATCATGCAGGACGAGGCGTCCTTGCAGGCGCCCTCCGAGTACACGCTCACCACCTTGGAGAAGAAGTTCCTTTTGTTTGCCGAAAGAGGTGACTGCGCTTCGGTGAAAAGGTAAAAAAACAGGGAAAAGGGACGAAATTTACAAAATCATTTTTCAGAATAATCAACGAAAATCGGGATAAACCAGACTTTGATCTGAACTGCGTCGACCCTTTAAATCGGTCCGCCCTGATTGCTGCGATCGAAAACGAAAATATTGAGTTAGCTAGAATTCTGCTCGACAATGGAATCAGAGTCAAGGTATTTTGATCATAGTGGATCATGATAATAAATTTCCTAAAACATGTAACTTTGTTGCAAAGGATGCTTTGCTGCACGCAATTAAAGAGGAATATGTTGAGGGTGTGGAGGTTTTGCTAGAGTGGGAGGAAAAAACCCACAAAGCAGGAGAGCCTTACGTAAGTTTGCAGAAAAATTTCCATATTTAGAAATTATTAGAAATAAATTTTAGAGCTGGGAAGCTGTGGACCGTGCTCAGTCGACCTTCACCCCAGACATCACTCCCCTCATCTTGGCAGCTCACATGAATAATTACGAAATCATCAAAATTCTGCTGGACAGAGGCGCTTCCTTGCCAAGCCCGCACGACGTCAGGTGAGTGGCTGAGCACGAGAAAGTGCCCAATAACTCGTTTAGAAAAATAGCATTACTTCGGCTCCAATAAATGGGATTAGCGAGCAAACATTGCGGTCTTCGATTCCTCGCGCATTTCAATGGGAGCGCCTGCAAGTAGTGGAAGTAGGCAATTTGCGCGTCATGAATGACGAGCAGGTTGCATTATTTCACAGCTATCGACGTGCCCTATTAATTAGTTTATATATTTTATTTAAAAAATAATCATTTGATTTTGAAAAATTAAAATTTGAATATTGAAAAAATTCATAAACACGTAGAGTTTAATTAATTAAAAGATTAGTGCGAAAAATTTCATATTTATCTTGCAGGCCACAATCATGAACAGTGAATGAGTTTGCAAAAAATTAGTACACAAATTAATTTCAAAAATAATAAATTGCTATTTTTGCCGATTGCCTGTTAATTAATAAATAAAATGTTTTTTTTTTATTCCATTTTAAAATTGCATCTAATTGTAATTATTTACTCAAAATTTCTGAAGAATGCTATTTGAAACTCCTTTTTTTGTAGAAATTAATAACAAAAAGATTTTTTCAATTGAAATCGTTATAAGCAACCCTCAATCGTGAATTCTGCTTTCACTATTATTCTATTCAACTTATTAATTTAATTTAACTGATTAAATTTTTAGGTGTGGATGTGACGACTGCGTCCTTTCGAGCGAGCAGGACTCGCTGCGACACTCGCAGGCGCGCATCAACGCGTACAAGGCCCTGTCCAGTCCGTCCCTGATTGCGCTCTCCTCGCGTGACCCTTTGCTCACGGCCTTCGAACTGTCGCGTGAACTTGCGAGGCTTCGCAAGATGGAAAACGAATTCCGCGAGGAGTACGAGGTAAGTCGATCGGTCGATCACGTGTCAACTACCCAAAAATCGATGCCATGTGACAATTATGTAAACGTGACCGCGTAACAGTTGGCGGCGCGACGGACAACGCCCGAATACTTTTGCGGTATCTTCTTTCCAATTAGCGACTTTTGGGCACATCAAATCACTGGTTGGATTTACCCTTTAACACTATTAGCTATTGTATATATAAATTACATAATCAAAATTGGATCTCAACAGCTTACAATGAATTAGGTCAAATTAGTAACATTTAAATTAAATAAGTATTAGATAATAAATGAATTTTCATTTTATTCAATTTCAATGTTATATAATTTAGTAATTTTAATTTAATACCTGCAACTGAGATGTTTGATAAGAAATTCGTTTTTTAAAACAAATTTTTTTGAGGAAAATATAAATTTTGTGCATTTAAATGAAATTTTCGCATAGAAATTTAACAGCTGATATTTAAAAATAAAAGGGAAAATCCCCTGATGTCACCTAATTTTCCAAATGGTCGAATAAACTTGGACCCTGCTAGGGTTTTGAAACGTCCTCATTATTATTACAGTACAGTAAAAATAAAACTGTCTGAATTATATTACTAATTTTTTATTATTGAAGAACCTGCGAAAGCAATGCCAAACATTTGCCACCTCTTTGATGGACCACGCACGCACATCTTATGAGCTGGACGTGATGCTGAACTTTGACCCGGACGAAATCGACAATATTTGGGAGCCTGGCAAGCGAGGAACGCTCGAACGCCTTAAGCTCGGCATTAAATACAAGCAGAAAAATGTAATAAAATAAATAAATTTCGATTTCCGCATTTAATATTTTCTTGACAGTTTGTAGCCCATCCGAACGTGCAGCAGCTCTTGGCCGCCATGTGGTATGACGGGTTGCCCGGCTTCAGGCGCAAGGGACCTTTGACTCGCATTTTGGAAGTGTTCAAACTCGCGTGCATGTTCCCCTTCAATAGCCTCATCTACATGGTGGCTCCCAATTCCCGAAAGGGCCAGTTCATGACCAAACCGTTTGTCAAGTTCATCACTCACTCCGCCTCTTACTTCTTGTTCTTAAGTATAGGCCCCTGTAAATTATCCAAAAGTATACTGGAGGAAAATGTTAAAATTTCAGTGCTTCTCGGCGCCGCTTCGCAACGAGTCGAGGTTTTGGTCATCGAATGGCTTGCATATGCTTTTGATAATGATTGGTTGAGGGAGATTTTGGTTGACTGGGCTCGAAGGGAACGTGGCTCCATTCCGGGCGTCGTTGAATTTGGCTGCATCTTTTACGTAGCGAGTCAGTTTTTACGAATTTTTTATATAATGTTTTCTTTAAATTAAATTTCAATCCCTCAGGTTTGGTGGCGTGGGAAATACGATCGCTGTGGGCTGACGGTCTGATGGAGTACATCGGCGACTTGTGGAACATAGTTGACCTTGTGTGCAACATGTTCTATGTGACGTGGATTACACTTCGGTCAATTTCTTATTATATATCATGGGTACGTTAAATTATACATAAAGCTTGAAAAATTCAATTAACATTTAAATTAATTGAATTGATTGTTTATAGGTTAATTTTTATTTCTTTTGTAAATATATCTTTATAATTAAAATATTTTATTTATTCAATAATACTAATTAAATTATTGGGTTGAAAATTTACTGAAAAAATATATTAAAATTTTATTTAAATTAAATTTAATTTAATTTTTTGCAAGACATACATAATATGTATATTCTTGAATGTATTTGTATCACGTATTAAAATTTTTAATAAAAAAAATTAACAAATAAGTAAAATAAATATAATATTAATATAAAAATTAATTTAAAAAAAAAAAATATTTAAAAATTTTAATTGTTTTATTTATAACAATAAAATTAAAAGTTTATTATCATGTTAATATTTTAAATTAAATTCACTCTTGTTTTCTAGCGGGAATATTGGCAAGGTTTAGACCCGTACTATCCGCGAGAAGAATGGGATCCGTTCGACCCATATTTACTAGCGGAAGGAATGTTCTCAGCCGGAATGATCTTCAGGTAAAATAAATTAACCGCCACTTTATTCATTTCTCACGCAAGCTGATCAGTTTCTTGAAGCTGGTGCACATATTCAGCATCAACCCTCATTTGGGACCACTGCAAATCTCATTGGGCCGCATGATCATTGACATCATCAAATTTTTCTTCATTTACACCTTGGTCCTGTTTGCTTTTGGCTGCGGTAAATCTCGCACTAACTGCATTAACATAGCCAAAAATTCTCAAAATTAAAGGCATGAACCAGCTGCTATGGTACTACGCTGATTTGGAGCAGGAGAAATGCTACTTGCCAAATGGAGAGGCCGATTTTGAAAATCAAGACAAAGCTTGCACCATCTGGAGAAGATTTTCAAAGTAATTGAAGAAGAAAATTTATAAACAAATCAAAATAATAAAAAATAAAAATCCATTACAGCATGTTTGAAACATCGCAGTCACTCTTCTGGGCCAGTTTTGGTTTGGTCGATTTAGTTTCTTTTGAGTTGACGGGAATCAAATCCTTCACACGCTTCTGGGCTCTGCTAATGTTCGGATCGTATTCCGTCATCAACGTCATTGTGCTGCTCAACATGCTCATTGCCATGATGTCAAACTCATACCAGATCATTTCAGTTTGTCCAAAATTGTATAAATTTTATTATTTTTAAATGGGAAATAAAATTTTAGGAACGATCCGACATTGAGTGGAAATTTGCCAGGAGCAAACTGTGGATCAGTTACTTTGAAGACGGCGACATTCTGCCTCCACCCTTCAATCTGTTCCCGTCGGTCGGAATGATGAGCGACGCTTTTGCAAAGAAAAAGAAACATACGTCAATTCGGGTATTATACAGATCAATCAATTGGAATAGAATTTAAAATTTATATAAAAAAATTATATTTAAGGCTAATAAAGAAAAAGCAGAGCACAGACATTCGACGGTGATGAAACTCCTAGTTAGGCGATACGTGACGGCAGAACAGCGAAAGAGGGATGAATTTGGAATCACCGAAGATGACGTCATGGAGATCCGACAGGATATTTCCACCCTGAGATTCGAGCTGGTTGATATTCTGAGGAGCAACGGCATGAAAACACCTTTACTTGACCCGAACGAAAACTCATGTAACTTTATTATTTTTAATTTGTCAATTTCTCATGATTATCAAAATGAGCTGAGATATTTGTTTTTCTATTTACAATTTTTTCTTCCTTTCAATTCTCAACTTGAATTTTTTTTAAAATCAATAGGAATAAAAAAAAATATAAATTTTAAATTAAATTTGTTAAAATAATTACAATAAAACTTTATTATTTCAATTTTCACTTTTTATATTACAGTGGCCGGCAAGAAGGGCAAGCAGATGGAACGACGCCTGCTGAAGGACTTCCAGATCGGTTACGTGGAGGGGGTGGTGAACGAGGCCATCATGAACGAAAAGGGCCCGAAGGACGTGTTCTCACGGATCGCACGGGCCATCGGCGGGAAGAGGCCGATGGGTGCGTCCAAGAAGAAGGACTGGAACGCGGCGGCGCAGCGCAAGAACAGCCGCAAGGACCCCATCGGCAGCACTTCTGAGCTGGTGGTGCGCAGGTCGCGCCAGAGCATCCGCAGGCACATCCTTGAGAACAAGGCCAACGTGGACACCAACAGATTGGTCGAGTACAACCCCCGACTGGTGGACGTTTCGCCCGCCGCCCGAGTCGCCTACGCCAAGTTCAAGCTGCAGAAGATCAAGAAAGAGTACGACACCAACGACAAGGAGGCCGATGACGTCTTCACCGCCAACGGAGTCAAGAGTCCGCCGATTGAGCACAGACCTACTAAGATGGTTGGTTTGGTAAAGGTCAGTAATCTATAATCAATAAGAAATTTAAAAACTATAAAATAGTATGATTGAATTTCAAATGAAAATAATAAATCTATTTTGGAAATTCAAGGCATAAAAATATTGTGTGCTAATTTTTAATATTTTTATTACTAGATTAAAAAATTGATGAATTTTTTGTTTGATTATTAATTGATGATGTTCTCAAAGTTGCTTCATATTTATAATGAAATAATTAATTTTATTATTTAATATGCTTTAAATTGAACAGACATTACTAATAATAATTTAAAATAATAAAAATCAAAAATTTTTATGTCAAAAGTTAATAATTAAAAAAAATTTACTGCTTGTGTTCAAAAATCTTTTATTTCATTACTTTTATTGAATTAAATAAAATTAAATAATAACTTCAATAAGTCATCTAATTTTTACCACCGTTTTTCTAATTTAAGTGTCTTTTTTTTCAGAACTCCGTTTCTTCAATGTCCTCAATCACGTCAGACCCTACGTTGAAGGCAAAAAAACCGGAGACGGTTTTGCAAATGGAACCTGACCCTCCCAAGTCGAATGGCCAATCTGCCGTTCAAAGGAAAGATACCAAGAAAGAAGCCCCTGAGCCGCCAAAGGTGCACAGACCGTCCACCAAGGGCACTCCACCGCCGGCGCCCCAGAAATCAAAGGCACCAACTCCAGCCAGCATTCCAACCCCCTCTAATGCCGCGGGACCCTCATCCGGCAGATCCTCAACAGCCGGCTCGGTACCTGCGAAGAATAGGGGCGTTTCGCCCATTCCTGAGGAGCGAGGAGTCTCACCCACCATCAGGACGCCGCAAGCCGGCGGAAAATCCTCAGTTAGTGGCAAGATCGTGGACGGGTGGATTTAGTGAGATTTTGAAATCATTTATGGGATGCAGGGAATTTATACAATTACATTATTCAACAAGAAAACTTTGGGTATCTTCAATATTTGAATTTTAATTCTGATAATTCAGCAAGTTTGAAAATTAATTATATCTTGATGAAAAAAATAGGTTGGTTTTGACGGTTGATCAAAGTTTAAAATTTTCTCAATAATTCAAATGTTTTTATAATGCACGTTTTTTCTTTGATCAAATATGCGATGAGGAATGAATAAGAATTTCAATGTTTCCTTTCAAATTTTTCAAAAATATTGAACAAATTAAAGAAAATATAAAAGTGTTGGAATGGAAAAGCTGCGTTTTCAAAAATATTATTATGAAGTACTTTTGAAATGATAGCTGGAAATTATGCGTTTTTTGCACTTGTTTAATTTTAGTCATTAATTGGTGAAAAATTTAATTTTCATCTAAACTCTAAAGGAAACAATATAGTTTTTGTTAAAAAATTGAGAAAAAGTAATAAAAAATATCCTTCCATTGTAACGAATATCATACAATCTCAAAACGTAGAGATGTGATAAAAAGAATAAATTAAATACAAGTTCGGGCGCTAGAAATAATTCATGTAGAGTAAAAATCTCGCAATAAAAATCGCTTTAAAAACTGTTTTACCATCAAAATAAAGAAAATAAAAATATATCGAAAATTGTTTTTTGTAAAAAATAAAAAAACTTAAAATCCACACATTCAGATCCTGGCAATAAACACGCATACCCTTTTTGTGACGCGGGTTGCATGACTCGCAGGCGCCAGCAGCTTTGCGGGTCTCTCTGTGGCAGCCACGCGGCGGCGGCGGCCCGACATAATAAATGTATTAGATGCGAAATGAATTCGCCGTGTCTGCTCTTGCGGCAAAAGTGGCGAAAAAGGGGTGTTGGGCGCGTGCGTGGCGGGTGGCGCGGGGGTCGAGGGCGCCGGCGTCGTGGAGGCTGCATCTCGGCGAGTGGCCGGGCCAGCATCTGCAGCGGCCACCATGAAGCACCCCTGGACCGACTCGCTCTAACCAGCCGCCGATTTTTCCTCCCAGGTGAGTCTCACGCACCCCCGCTCGCATTTTCCACCCCGAACGGACCCCAAACCGACGCAGGGGTTCAAAAGGGCCTCGCGGGGCCTCGTCGGCTCGCACCCGCCGCCTTCAGTATTGACGTTTCTGGGCCGCGAATGGCGCCAGCCTCTGCATGTAGGCGCCATCAACCAACTTGAAGAATGATTAACACTCGCTGCAGTATTTTCTCAATTGACCCTTGACCTGCAGACACTCGAGTCTCAAGTGCCGCGAACAATCGTAACGCCTGAGGTGGCCACTTTTTCATTTCTTTCCGGCCGCAATTTTTGGGACGGTGGCAAATAAGCTATGATGGTGGATGTGACACTTTCTGGAAACTTCATCTCTTTTATTTTTAGCAGGGTCAAAACTTTCAATTTAATTTTGTTCACACTCACTTCCCGCACAAACCCGGAATTTAATGAAATAAATACAAGGAAATATAATAAAAAAAGTATTAATTGCCATTTTTTTTTTTTATAAATTCAGGATTATGTTTGTGATCAGTTTTAATCTCAAATAGATTTTCCTTGATGAGATTTGATTGTTGTCTGTGGTTTTTGCAGAATAAAATTTTGTGGCCAGCCTGTTTTGGTTTAGGGCTGCGGCCATAATTATCTTAATAGTAAACTGTACATTGATAGGCAAACAGCCTATTTAATGAAATAGAAACAACCTTTTATTTAAGTAGGCAATTTTTCTCAATTTTAACTACTACGACAGTTTTTTCCAGAAGAAAATGAGCGTTTGAAATGTATTATCTTATGTTTTTGGGTTGTAGTTAAAATTTGAAATAACATTTAAAACTGTCCATAGGCTTTAATTTAAATTAACCACAAGTCAAACCTAAAACTAGAATTTATTTTTAGCATTAATTTAAATATTTCATGATAAAAATAATATGTACAATTTTGTATAAAGCCACATGAAATATTTTTAAAAATCTTTAACTTTGTACAGATGTTGATATAAATTTCTCCAACATGATAGGTAGCAATTTAATAATTTTTTTATTAACTTGTGGATTTTCTTAATTGATGACAAGCATACCATAATTAATTTATTTATATATGTACGCAATTAATACACGATTTATTCATCAAATTTTCGAAAGATCTGCGAAAACGAGAAAACACACTGAACTTTTCCACTTTTTTGTGACATGAGTTATTGCCTGCTGCACACTTGATTTCGTTTCTTTCCGTTTTTTATTTTATATAGCCTGAGTGGTAGAGAAAGAGAGAGGACGAGTTAAAAAGGTGTATATTGTGTGGCAAAAGGTCATTAACGACTCGTTCCACTCCAGGTGTTGTGACAGCTCGAGTGACATGGCCCGCACCTGGAAAATTTATGTTTGGACCATCCTGGCATTTATTATTACCTGGCTGGCCTCTCAGTCAATGGCAGCTCTGGCTACTCACGATAACTCTATACCAGGTAGAAATAAAAGGCCGTCCGCAAAAAGCAGCGCAGAACTGGCACTTTTTTATTAAATGGCTTTTGTGTATTGTTCTCGCCTGACGATGAGCGCCGTTTCGTGTGCGCGAATGCCTGCATGATTTCGTGTTTCCTTTTCTTCTATGGCATGTTTTAATTTGACTGTTGCTGAATTTTTTTACACTTTTTTCACAGACGTTGGCGTTGGCGAAAATGGAAATAAGAAATTTCAACTTCTTTTTCATTGATTTTTATAGATATCTTAGCAAATTCAGTTTTCAATTAAAATTATCAATGCAGCGAGAAAATTTATGCTTTAGCTTTATTTTTTTCTCTCTCAGGCATGTTGAGTGCTACATTTTAGAATGCTGGAATTTTATTAAATATATATATTTTTATCTAGTCATTGTATGATGATGGTTGTTAAAAGATATAATTATTTGTATGAAAAATATTTTATTTTAGCTTTTTTTATTATTAATGAATTAATGATACTGCTTATAAATCCACATTTTAAATTTAAATTTATTTTTTGTTTATTACTTGAAATAAATAAATTTAAAGTTAATATATAGAAATTAAGATATTTATTTAATCAATTTGACTACTTTAAAAATTTAACAAAGGTGGCTTCAAAGTGGCCTTACAAGTGGACAAAATTAAAAGTAGTAAAAATAGACAATTGTTTACAAGCAAAAACAAGTTTTATCTTTGAATGAAAATTTTCAATTATTCTTTTCAAATTTTCTATCCTCTAATATTGTTGATTCACCTGATTGAAATTACAATATATAAAATACCTTAATATATAACCTACTTAAAGACTGGACGATCTCGAAAAACTTTAAAGGTGATATTTTTCTTTCACATTAGCCTTATCTTTGCCACAATTTAGACAGACTAATCAATTTAATCATTAAGAAAGATTGTAAGCTTTACTTTATGAAATTACAGAATGAACATTCCTCCGACAAGTTATTGTTAAAAAAGCATGATATGATGATGTAATAGAAATTTTGTATTTGAAACATTAAAATTTTTCCCTCATTTATGCCAGAAAAAAATCAAGCACATCGTATTAATTATTTTTATTCATTCTTAATTATTAATAAATTTTTTGTATCATTTTCAGCAGGGCGTTGCTGTTTATTTAAATTTTTCTATTAAGTCCTCTAACTAGATTTTGAGTATTTTTGGAGCAGACATTTAAGCAATTCTCCTTGTGAACGTTTTCAGTAGTGAAAGGGGTGAAAAACGCGACCAACACCTCTCACCCCAAGGTCCGTCAGCCTTCCACCAAAATCCGAGCGAATCCGATCGCCCGCGGTGGCGTTTTCCCCGTTGGCTCAGCGGTCAAGTCTTCGTCAAGAGCCGCGCAGGAGAACGAGTACTACTCCTACGAATACTCGGACGAGCCGCTCGCCAACGACAACAACAATAGCGGAAAGAGGTTGGCCTAAATTTTAACTAGATATGGAAGCAAAAGTTTTTTATTTAAGGACGACAATTTGGTGCAATCAAATTGACTAGAGGCAAAAATAAGTTGATTATAATTTTTTAGTTTTACGAAGAATATTTCACATTAAAGATTAAATCATTATTGTTATCAAACTGTGATTACGATTTCCAGCGAAATTTGAAATGATCTTTACCATATCTCAATCTGGATTGACAAATTTTCATTCAAACAAAAATGAAAGAGATGTTGAGAGTTTAGGATCAGAGATCTTTTAAGGAAAAAGTCGTTTAGTTAAAAAGATTTGTAAGATTTTAATATTTGAATTATCTGATATCAAATAAAAATTAATTCATGTACTTTAAAATTTTCCTTCTTTAGAACTTATTAAATAAAAAAGCTAAAATTTGATACCAGATGCAAAAAAGGCGTTATTTTGTTAGAATTGTACTATCCTCGCTTATAAAAACTGCCAATTTAGTGAGTCTTTATTAAAATTGCCCAATTTTTTCAGAGCCTCCGAAATTTAACAAACATTTTTGCCAATTTATTTCTATTGCATTCGGATGTTGGGCGACGGCACTAGTTGTTCTCATTAGGGGAAATGCAGGGGCGCGAAAGAAGAAAATCGATTCTCTCATCTGCATGCAAACATGAAAACAGTGCCAGGGTTGATTATTATTAAAAAGCAGAAAGCTGCTTTAGTAGGCCACCGGCTTTTAAGCAGATTAATGTGCGGCATCGATTTAAAACCGATTCTGAACGTCATTTGCAGCGAGGCTGCGATTTGGCTGCAGGGGGTGGTGCCTGACCCTGAGGCTTTAAAGGCCAGCGAAGACCTCGAAGGCCAGGTGTTGAGCGACGAGCCGGAGGAAGAAGTGGAGTTACCGGACAACAGTCTCGCCGACGGCGATCTCCACGACCATGATATGATGGACAGCGTCATGTAAGATTCGAAAAAATTATATTATATTAAAATATATTTTAAAAACAAAAGTTTTGTTTAAAAAAAGTCATTGGTATATAATACAAACAAATTTTCTCCTCCAGAAACATTATTCCAACCTTTAAATATGTCTGCAAAGGATTGTCATTTTAAAATCAATTTTGTTTGTTAATTTTGTTTAAATGTAACTAATACTTGGATTCTGAATCGTGAACATTAGTTTATTTAAATGTAGTTTCTTAATTGGCGGGGGGAAAACCTTTTCAAATTAAAATTTGAGCAAATTTTAGAAAAATCTAACTGTTTAATTAAATAATATATTTCTTTATTTATCAAATGAAAAGGTTGACGAAAAACTGTTTTAACTCTTTTTCACCCATAACTTTTCAGGTTCATTTACTATAGTCCGAATGAGCAAGAAAACGGCGGAACTACCAGTCAGGTATTTCTGGCCGGAATGATCGTGGCGCTGCTCGCTCAGGGTCTGACGGCTTTTGGCGCCCTGAGGAAGGTCGCCAGGTCAAGGTGCAGGTCAACACCATCGGCGGGAATCCCCTCTGGCTCCGTGCATGCAGCCATCGTCCTTCTGCATACCGAATTGGCACTCGCCACCGCGTCCCTCGTTTTCATCTTTGCAGTCCATGTGAGTAGAATTTGATTTTCAAAAAAATAATTTATAAGCAGAATAGCAATCGAAATTAACTTTTTCTTTACTCGTAATATTTTAAATTGATCAATATTTTTGTATTTTTAATTCTTAAGTCTTAAGTAATATAAATTTGTATGTATATTTACACTAATTACCATTATTTTATCTTTTTGGTTATGAATTCCATATTTTCTCTCTCCAAAAAATATTTTAACATTAAAAGAAATACATCAACCACTCTGGTGGATAGCTGAAAGATTGATTTGATAGATCCGTTTTAAAGGAAAAGTAAACTATGACAATATTTAATTTAATTTAACAAAAAAAAATTTAGAAAAATATAAATTTTAAGTATGTATAGTTAAATTTATATGTAAAATAAACATAATATGTGTACAATGCTAGAATTAAATTTAATTAACTAAATAAAAGATAAAATAGATTAAACGTATTAAATATTTAAAAATTAGCTGCCTATGTACATAAATTAAATTTTAATTAATCTTATAATTATAAAAAACTAAATAAGAACTTAAATTCCGCTCACACATTATTCAGTTTATCTTTTCTTTCTATTCATTCTTAGTAATAACGGCTAGACACGGTAGAGCTGTCCCCTTTGCCCTTTTCTCTCCGAGCCGTCCTCTTTAAAGCAAAGACACAAAAGCCGAGTGCGCGCCACAGGCTGATCAAATATCACCCTCAATCGATTTAATTATCCTTCCAGGCCACAATGGACAGCGCGCGCTGCCAGGCCATTTCCCTGTTGCTGCACTACTTGCACCTGAGTGCAGCGTGCTGGTTGACGGCCAACAGCGTCAGGGTGTACCTGTGGCTGGCGAGGGAAACCGCCCTGGCACATGACCGATCCTCGTCTAGGGCGCCGGGACTCCAGAGTTTGGCCGTCATCGCCTGGGCTCTGCCTCTGCTGCTCGTTTTGGTACAACTTTTTTCTCCTAAAAGATTTCACAAAACGAGTCAAAGTCACTCAGAAATAGCCAAAAATTGATCATTGTTTGAAAATTTCCAGATCTAACTGATAAAAAAATCAGTTTATTTACTGCATAACTTTTACTGATATAGAAGATATCTTTAAAAATTTTACCCCCCTTTTTAAATTAATTTTAGTATTAAAATAAGAATTTATAAAAAAAGTTGTTATTGCAATGAAAATAATCAGGCTAATTAATGAGCAGTCTGTTTTTCTTTAAAGAAATTAAAGTTAACTATTAGACCTGAAATAAGAAGTCCCACATTTTTTTAAATGCAATCATTTTTATAGTTATAAAAAGAAAATGGAGTATGAGCCGTGCAGTAATCTAGTCGGGAGGAAAATACTGTATCTGATAATGCAATTAATACATTTACATTTCTTTTTCAGCTGAGCTATTTGATTCATCCCAAAGGCTACGAGTTCGGAAGATACTGCTGGCTTTCAATTCAAAAGGGAATGCTCGTTTCTTATCTAGTTCCTGTCGCCTTCCTCATCACGGTATTTGAGATATATTATATTTATTTATTGGCACTTCACTTTCCTGAAAAAAAGTTTAAAAGCACATTATTTATTGCAATTGATATCATTATCAAATTTTCCTTTAAATGAGTTTAAGGAACATGATTTACTCCAATTGATCTCACATTCCAATAATCTCAGTCATCTCAGATCTCAGATGTTACAATGATATGTGTTGTATTAGTGTGTCTACAAATTAATTATAAAATTAAAAACTATAATATTTTATAAACCCTTTCTTCTCTTGCTCTCTTTTATCCAACTTAAAATTTTTTATGAACAAAAGTGATAAATAATAATAAACTAAATATTATAAAATACATTTTTAAATTAAATCATGAAGTAACTATGGAAAAATTATAAAAAAATGGTAAAAAAATAGTAATTTAATATATTTATTTAAATAAAAAAAATCTTTAGTTTTTCTCTAAAAGTTCACTAACTTTTTTATGCTAGTAAAAAAACTTGAATTTTTGCTTTTAAAATTTTTTTTCAACGTTAATTTATAATAACAAAATGAGAAATTATTTATAATTTTCCTCTCAGGCGACGACTGCCCTGGCAGTTCTGGGCGTTCGAAAGGCACCTCACAAGCTGCACTGTTCTGCTTCTGAGGACGCAGCCCGATTGAGCCTCCGCCTGAGCGCCTGGACGATGCCCCTATTCGCAGTGTCTTGGTTCTTCAGCGTTTTGGCCCTTGAGCAGTCGCAGTCCCTTGCGGCATCTCTTCTTTTTGCCATCACAGTTGCCATCTTTGTACGTACTAATATTCAACATTAATCTTTTTGTTAAAATTTAAAAGAATTTCAATTAAGTCAATTCAGAAATTAAGAATAATGTAAATTGCTCGTCATTTTTGAAAAAAAAAAGAAAAAAAACGTACTTTAATCAGAGACAGGACAATAATTTTATCTTTTAAAGTGAATGCCTTTATTTTGTCTTAAATTAAAAATGTACATCTGCCAAATTGTGTGTTAAAATAATTATCTTAAGAGATTTTATTGCAATTTGAGAATTTAAGTTGAAATTTAATTTCTACCTTTTTCCCCTTTTTTTAATTAATTTTTTCTTTTTGCAGAACTGGTTCGTCTTTGCCTGCTCTTCCACCTTATTTCCCGACTGTCCTTCTGCCTTGGTGAGGAACTTCCATCCCCTGGCATTGCCTGCCGGTCCTCACGGCCCTGGCAACCTTCTCACTTCGCCGCCGTCACCCCTGCAGCATGACGCACAACCCCTGCTGCCCGCCTCCGGCCCTGGAATGAGCAGTCGCGGGTGGAACAACGGTTGGACGCCCAGGACCCACCCTGAACTACCGTCGCCAGCTGACAGGTTTAAATTAATTCTAAAATTCAAATTGCCCATGTGGAATACAAAACACACAGACAAATTTAATTTAATTCTAAACTTCCCGCTGAATTTTTTTTGTGCATTGCACATTTTTTTCATGGTGATTTGAATTTAAAGTCGGCTTTTCCTCGATGTGTTTTGTGAGTTTATGTATTGTTAGATAAAAAACAGTATTTTTTTCTTGCGTATTATAAAAAAACGTGACGTTTCCGCAATCCAGAGCGAATCAAAATCATTCTTAAAACTGAAATCGTTTCTTAACTTTGTGGAGTAGACGGTTGTTAATTACTCTGTAAATCACCATCTAAAAATCCAATTTTTAGAAGTTCCTTTTGTTATAAATGTTATAATTAAAATATTGAGTTATAAAAAGAGTAAAAAAAAACTGCCAGGTGGAAAATAATGTTTAAAAATATGAAAGACAATTAAAATATTCTCCAGAATTTAATGTACTTTTTTTTCAAATTCAGAATTGTGTGGGCTGAAGAAGATTCCTCGGGCTCTGCCGCGGCCGCTGCCACCTCCACCCTGGCGTGCAACCCTGATGACGATTTGATGGAACCAGAGGAGACGAGTGAGCTGCTGGAACTCCGCCTCGAGAACATAAGCACCATCAGCAATTAAGACTTCTAAGAAAGTTGAACAGATCTGGATTTTTATAAAATTTAAAATTTATTTCTGGGCTCAGATCGCAGTTGCTAGAAAATTACTTTTCAACGGGTACGGATGATTTTTGGAGGAAGAAATAATTTAGAGGCCAAATTTAAAAATATAAATAGTAAAAAGTCTTTAAATATTTGAGCGCACGACATAGTTTCTGCCTAGACAGCATGTGAGCGAGATTTCAATTTTTCGAAAGGTTGCCAATTTTAGGCTTTGCATATTTATCTCATTATTTATCCTGTGAAATATATTCACAGACTTGGTTAAATATAGCATGAATTGTGCATACTTATATTTAACTCATCAAGTAGGCCTATATTAGGCATCGTAGGCTACGCGTATTTTTAAATTATTATAAAAAAAACGTGCTTTCCAATAATTCGGATTCCTCCATCATCACCAAGCTTTGTTACATTTGCCCTAAAATAGAAGACATTTGCACGCGAATTTCGCTTTGTATTTGAAAGTATAAATTAGTTTTTAACGATGTGATTTGTAAAACTATAAATAGATGGATAATTCATCGATTTGCTATTTGAAGCCGAGAGCGTATTGCAAACACACGTGAATATATTAATATAATTAAATTGATGGCCTACATTTGAAACAATCTATCGACGGAAATGTATTGTTTTAGAATAGAGGTCGAAATTTGGAAGGTGAATTGTGAATCGAAAAATCCCTGCCATATATAAATTATAAAATGTTAGCAAACAAAAATTATATTAGTCGTGGCAATCAGGACTGTTTTTGAGCGAGACCCAATTTGAAACCTTTGTAATCGATATAGGTGCTTAATGAAAATTACAATTAATTAAAACGGGAGTTGATTAAGTCTTTCAAGATTAACGAGCACTCCAGAAATGCGGCTGCTCTTTTTACTTATAGAAAAGCCGCAGCAGTTTTTTTTTTTGCTAAATTTTAATTTTTGGCCAGAAGAGTGACATAATTAGAATTTTTGCCTTTCTCCCGAGACGAAAACAGCCGTTTTGTGATCTCATACTATATATGATAGCTCACTCGCACACTTTGTAGATGTATAAAACTCTATAAACTCCTCTCTCGTATGGTGCTCAAATAAAGAATTGATTCTTCCCGAATATTCCTCAAGTAAAAATGTGTCAACAATTCCTGGACATTGTAATGGATTTACCATGTAAGACAAACTTGAGACACGATTCTCACTTTGTATTTAAAAGACATGCAAATTATGTAACGATACATAAAGAAAAATCACCAAAAGTTTCCAATCTAAAAGTAGGTTGATCGTCGCTCATCGTGTTACTTTACTTTCTCAAGTACTTCCGTTTCTATAGAAAAAAATTAATAATGTATAAATTTAGAGCTCTACCAAAAAATCTAATTTAATTCATGATTTATGAAACATTTTGTCAAAGTTTAAGAAAAAAAACTACTCAAAATATTAATTGAAAATTAAAAATTGTAAAACCATCATTTTCATGTTCGTCTTCCATATTATCAACTAACCATAGCGTAAGTCACCTTTCAAAATTCATGTGAATATATATTTGAACATGTAAGATCAAAAACTTGCAACAAAAATTTTGGCTGCAAAATTGAATAAGTCTAAATTTGATGAAAAATATCGACATTTTGTCGTTTGAAATAGTTTTCTTGCTGGATTGTTCTTAAAATTTAATAATTAATTTGTAACAATGAGCAGCTAGTTGTGCTGCCTCCAAGTGTATAAAGAACTGGAATCGTGACCCCACGTAATGTGTATAAAAATTTAAGTAAATGAAATCGATTATTACTTAACAAAGAAATACATTAATCACCGCTACATGCACGAATACAATTTACAACTTGTGAGCAAATGTATTGTAAAAAAAATACTGTATTTGGAATGTAAAGAAATTATAGCTATAATAAAAATCTACCTTTGGATTATGTATAAATTTCAAACGATCAATAAAATGCTTCAAATCATCACCGCCTTTAATTAAAAAATAAACAAGTTTAGTACTTTAATCTTTAAAGCGCATCTAATAAAAATTAAAGACTGAGATATCATTGACCCTGGGCTGGCCCTAAAAAACTCCTGCCGAGATAAGATAATAAATGAAACTCTCCCCTCTCCGACGGAAATTAAATTAGCTCCAGGCTTAGAAAGACTGCACTTAAGTCGATCCTCTTATAAGTGTGACGCTTTCTCTGACTGACTGTGAGTGGAACCTCGTTAAAGAGAAGACAGTTTGCGCTGCGATTCGGCTGCTAGCGGAGCCAACAATGGAGCGTTGGGCGGGCAGAGTGGCCGTCGTGACAGGGGCCAGTGCGGGAATCGGTGCTGGAATTGCGAAAGCGTTGGTGCTCAACGGCATGAAGGTGGTTGGAATGGCCAGAAGAGCAGACAAAGTTGAGGTATACCAGTTTTTTTTTTAAATTTATTTATTGACTTTTTTTAATTTTAAAAGTTCAAGTAATTTAATGTCAAAATAAATAAAATAAATAATTTTTATTTTAAGTAATATATTTTTCTTTTGCTAACTCAAATATTTCATTTTTTTATAATCTGTTATTTAAATAATAATAAAAACATCATTTTTTAGTTTTTCACCCTTAAATTATTTAATTGACTGAATAACATTAGTCCTAGATATAAAATTCTCCCTGGAAATTATTTTCGTAGCATTGTGTTTATTATAAATTTTAATTTTAAAAACATCATCTACTAATTCAATAAACAAGTTTTAAGATGTTTAAAACAAATATATAACTATTAAAAAATAAAATACGTAATTGAATCATAAGCAATAAACCTTTATAAAAAAATGTAGTCTACTCGTCCACAGATGATTTGTTATATTATCTTAAAAACAACATTTTGTGCACAAAGTTACAAATGTTTATTCTTACATCACGAAAATAAATAGGATTTAGTAAAAGAGTTACTGGCAGCAAATGCTCCTGGCGAGCTGCACGCGGTCAGGGTTGACCTTTCGAACCACGAAGAACTGCAGGCGGCCGTGCAATGGACCAAAGAAAAGCTCGGCGGCATCGATGTGCTTGTAAATAACGCTGCCGTTCTTCACTCGACCTCTTTAGCCGGTGGTAAGAATAGAAAATTGTAAAATTTAGTTGACCCCATCTTTTTTTTTTTGAAGAGGGGCAAGAAGACCCTTGGCCAAAGTGGCGGGCGATGGCCGACCTGAATTTAATTGCATTGCAGGTCCTCACAAAAGAGGCAGTGAAAGATATGAGGAGTAGAGGTGTTGACGATGGACACATTGTTCACATCGGAAGGTAAAATTACTTCTTGCTTGGGAATTTGAACATAAATTTGGACTTTTTTTAATTTCAGTATTGTTGGGACGAGAATCGTAGACATGCCAGGTGGTTATGCCTTTGCAGGAATCAAACATGCCATCGGGGTGATGACCGAAGGTTTGAGGCGGGAACTGAGAGACCTGGGAACCAAAATCAGGGTCACGGTATTTTATCGTTAACAAAAAAATGAATATTACTTTTACTTTCATTTTCCCAGAATATTAGCCCAGGGTTTGTAAAGACGGATTGGTGGATGGCAAACGGATTGTCTGAGATTGAAAAGGAAAAAATGTACTCTGAAAATCCCAGTTTGGAGGTGGAGGACATTGCCAATGCTGTGATCTACGCACTCGCGTGTCCGCCACATGTGCAGATCCACCAACTCACCATCCAACCTGTGGGAGAATTTTTTTAAACTGCTCAGAAGCTATTTAGCACAGAAATAGATTAATAATTGATCAAATAACAGATGAATAATTTGAACCCAATAAAACAATATTTTTGCAAGTATTTCTAAATTTAATAACTAATTGTAAGAAATAAAGAATGCTGAAATAATTTACTTAATAATACTTACGTAATAATTTAATTATTTCAAGATTAATGGTAGACTTCTTATTGATTTCCCATAACATTCGGGGAACCATAACTATAGTAATGTACCAGAATTACATATTAATAAATTAAATATAGTGCTAAACCTGTTAATTTATATTTAGAGTCTTTGTTTGCCTTATATTTTTGTTAATATGATTTTGCTAGAATGCAAAATTTTTTAATCAAGATTTCGTAATAAGTTTTGAAGCGCAAAACGTGTTTAGAAAAAAATCGCGGCTCTAGGGAGATGAGAAATAGCGTCGGTCGACAAAAATTTTTCGGCCCATTCATTCTGATGTAGCTTTACGGGAACACCAAACAATAAATAAAACCGGAGAAACGCGCACGCCAAAAAAGCAGCACACAAAATGTATGCATCACGGGTTTGTGTAGAAAAGAAAGTGCTCCCCTTATTTATCCTCAAATAGATGCTGAACACCTCAATATTTTAATCTACATTTAAACTTGTTTTAGAATTGACACATCACACATAATACAAGTACGTAAGAATCTATTAATAATAAAATATTATAAATATGGATCGTGCAAATCTGTATCTCATGTCTCATGTCATTCTAAAACATTATATAATATTTTTATTTTTACGAACAACAAAAATGTATTCAAGTAGGATTTTTTTTAGTAAATAACTGAAGCTCAATAACTGAAAAAGAATATTTATTTTTTACAAAATCACGTGTCGTGGTTTTAACAACTTTCGCTGTTCTAAGAAATTTAACAGAAACAAACGTAACCGTAATTAAGATTTAATAAAAAGCAGTTTTTTTAATTTTTATATTTTTACTTTCACTTTGTGAATCTCCCTGTTCTAAAAAGATTGAAATAATATAGTTTCTAAAATAAAATTGAAAATAAATATAAAATATGTAATATAATAAATATGATATAATATTAAACAAATAAAAACATTGGAACTCGCATACATACTCTGTACATAAAATATTTCATGAGAATAACCCATGTATGTTAAAAGGCACAGTCAGAAATTTTTCATTCATTATATTATTGTCTAGACCTGCCAAAACATTTTTTCCCATTTCTCGTGTTATTGCTTGAACGGGGCCAACGAAGGAATAATGAGAGCACTCTACACTTTTGATACAAAAGACGATGTTTTTGTGTCATATGAATTGGTGTGAAAAATTAATGGATTCAAAAGGTTGGCAGACGGGTGTGACTAGAGACCTGTTCATATTTAGCCAGTTTTATTTAAAATGTGATGATCTGGTTTAGATCGATAGATCGTGTTTTTGAATGATTTTGTCCAACTAAAAACCACTATAGGAAATTAAAAATTCTAAATTATTGGTGGAAGGGTTGATAATTATGAAAATACGTGTGACATCACACGTTTCATGTTTTTTTCTCGTCATAATAGTGGATTTTAATTTTCCGAGAGGATGGAAAAGAATGCAATTCAAATGTGTTTTTCATTCTGAACCAAAGTAAGGTGAGGGGAAAATTATCTGCCTCAAAATGTGATACTTTTTTTTAGGAAATGAAAAGCAGTTTTTCTTTCAGATTAGAAGCATTAACTAAAATTGCGGCCACTAGACGAATATGCGTTTGAAATCCAGCAGATTCATTGCAAGAAGTGTAGCCCGGCCACGGAAGCTCTCCTTGTTGGAAAGGAAAAGGCAACAGCAGCAGCAGCGCAGCAGTCTGGCGACAAATCCCTTTGTGAAATCCGAGGAGGCCGTAACAGGAGGCGAGAGTTTGCGGCAGCTGAATGGGGCCGCTTTTTGGCACTGCCGCGTTTTGGCCGTGCCGAGTGCCAAGCAACGTGTGAAAAAGGAAGTCGCCCTGCTACTGCCGGCCGCATTATGCAAATCATTTTATTATTGTTTCATGAGTTACGCACGCAGCCTTGGTAATTACCAGCAACTCCGGCTTCAATTCTGGGCACGACATTCGCCCATAAATTTGTCCTCTATTCTCCCCGGAGAATGAACAATTTTTCTCTCTCTGAGAATCGATTGATTTCGTTTCTGGTCCCTCGAGACCTTTCATCCTATTTTACCTTTTTTCTTTTATTGTAGCCAGAGACAAAGGAAGTTCGACGCCGAACCTTTTATTCTAATCTAAATATAATGGAGTGTTGGGAATTTCGTTCCGATCACAGAGAATAAATCACTTGAAAGCAAAGACCCGTCCGTGTTTCCGTTTTTTTTATCTGCGGAAAAAGGCCGTAAACGCATATCGAGCGATGGAAAAAGTGCCACTTGCATTGCACCCTCAATCAAGGCTAGTCGTAATGTTTGATGTGCTTGACGGTGAACATTAACGATCGGAAGGGGACAGATTTTATGCAACCGTTTGGCCAGGCAAGACTAACTGGTTGCATACTCGGCAATATCAGGCGCTATTATGTGAATGGGTTAAACTGGCGGTGGGAATAAAGCACGCATCCATAGTTTTAAATTTCATTAAAAGCTTTGAAATCGACATGAAATTTGTTAATTTTTTTAATGGATGGTCACCACTTTTAAAAAACCAACATTGGTCTAATAAATTATGTTTAACTTTTATGTTAAATGAATTTAATATTTAATGCATATTTTCCTGGATCGAAAACAGCCAAGCTAAGAAAACATCTTTGATGGAATACATATTCAACTGAAGCTAATATATTACCATGCAAGAAAATTTTTTGGTCATGTTTTTTGTAGGGCTGATTTCGCAAACCGGTGGCCAAGGTCGGAAATTCTTTGATTTTTAGCGTGTCCTAATCTTCTTAAAACTTAGACTCCCCCCCCCCCCCTCCTAATCTAGCCCCGCAAAAAAATCAGCAAAATCCGGTTATTTCCGGCAAAAAACCCAATTGCAGGATACGTACAAATTAAAAAAAAAAAATACTTATGTGTAAATTCTGTTCATAATTATTGATAACAAAATTATTTGTGCCACTTTTGTACTGCGTATTAATTTTTTTGAAATAAAAATTTAATTTACAGAAATTCAAAAATCTAAGTAAAGTAACATAATGTGATCAACAAACTGTACAACTAATATATTAATAATTTTAATTTGAAATTTGTATTCATTCCATTTACAAAGGGGTCAGACAATATTCAAGAATAGGAATAAATAAATTGCAATACAGCATTAATCAATCTCCTGAAACCATAATTAAACATGTGCATCTGTTACAATAATTATTATACCAACTAGAAGTCCAGGGCATAACAAAAGAATGTATTTTTTTTCAACTATACAAAATGCTCTTGGCAGCTAACGGTTTTAATCTGTTAATTTAATGAGCACCTATAACATCAGCCCAGTGGAAAATAAAAATTGCATGCTGCAAGCAATATCATATTGTTTAAAGGACAGCAGAAAGAACAGTGCAAGGGATTTTATGTTGCTCCAACCTTAGGGCACATCTCAAAGGAAACTATCTTGATTATTCAGTCGCTCCTTCTTCCTCATGGCTGTTTGTAGCTAAAGAGCCCTAAAAATAAAAAGGACTCCATATTAACATGAGGTCAAATCAGATATCAGAACCATATAACCATCCATATGGAGACCAATAATCTTAGTTTATTAGAAGAAAAATTGGCATCAGCAGCCATCATTGCTAAGAAAACTTTACTCTACTTAATCAATAAGCTAGTTTTAATAAAACACATGAAACTAAGGTATTTTAAATGATTTAGATAACAAACCTGATTTTCATCAGAATCATAAGTGAAAGATCCATCAATGCCGGCCGACTCCACTTGCTCGCCATCCGCAGAACTGAAACTTCCTATTTCAGCAACAAACTTTGGTTTGCTGCGTTGAGGGTGAGAGTAGACTTCAACATTGCCGTCGTTTCCCTCAGACACCTGAAACAAATATAAAACATCAGGTAAATTCAATACTAAAAGGTTATTTTAAATGATTTGATTACAAACCTGTATTTCATCAGGATCATGAGAGGAAGATCCATCAGTGTTGGACGGCTCCACTTGCTCGCCATCCGCAGAAATGAAACTTCCTTTTCCAGCAACAAACTTTGGATTGCTGCGTTGAAGGTGAGAGGAGGCGACCTCAACAATGCCGTCGTTTCCCTCAGACACCTGAAACTAATATAAAACACCAGTTAAATTCAATGCCTGATGCGACTGACTCGCCTGACGCGACTGACTCGCCTGACGCGACTGACTCGCCTGACGCGACTGACTCGCCTGACGCGACTGACGCGCCTGACGCGACTGACGCGCCTGACGCGACTGACGCGCCTGACGCGACTGACGCGCCTGACGCGACTGACGCGCCTGACGCGACTGACGCGCCTGACGCGACTGACGCGCCTGACGCGACTGACGCGCCTGACGCGACTGACGCGCCTGACGCGACTGACGCGCCTGACGCGACTGACGCGCCTGACGCGACTGACGCGCCTGACGCGACTGACGCGCCTGACGCGACTGACGCGCCTGACGCGACTGACTCGACTGACGCGACTGACTCGCCTGACGCGACTGACTCGCCTGACGCGACTGACTCGCCTGACGCGACTGACTCGCCTGACGCGACTGACTCGCCTGACGCGACTGACTCGCCTGACGCGACTGACTCGCCTGACGCGACTGACTCGCCTGACGCGACTGACTCGCCTGACGCGACTGACTCGCCTGACTCGCCTGACGCGACTGACTCGCCTGACGCGACTGACTCGCCTGACGCGACTGACTCGCCTGACGCCGGACTGTGGTCCACCTGATCATCACGTTGAGTTGCAATTTCTGTGCCACTGTAGTCAGTGAGCGGCTGTCCATTCTTTTCATCATAAATGTTGATGCTAAAACTCAATTTTAATAAAAAACTTTCAATTTAGCGATAAATCATAACTTACATCAAAATGACATAATTGCCATTGTGGTTTCTTATGCAATTCAACACATGCGTTGGCAGGTACGAGGCACGATAATGCTTCTTACAATTTGGGCATCTATGCCTAGGCCGCCAAAATAACATTTTCGGCTGAAACGCACGTCTGGCAGTTTCTTGATGTGTTGTGTTTTAAGCATTCCTCTTTTGCCCTTCTTTTGGTTGTTCTTAAAATGTGGATGACTTCGACGGGCTGCGAAGACTGGC